CCGAGGCATAGTATGTGGCTATTACAAACGTATTCAAAGAAGCTCTTTGGCTCCAAAGATTACTATCAAAAGTAGAGCTGCTGGATGGTACAGTTACTGTCTATTCAGACAGCCAAAGTGCTATCCACTTGTAGAAGAACCCGGTGTATCACGAACAGACCAAACATGTTGATGTTAAATACCATTTTGTGAGGGAGCTAGTGGAGAAATGAGTGATCAGCCTGAAAAAGGTACCAACTAAAGACAACCCTACTGATATAGGAACAAAGGTGGTCACTCCGGCCAAGTTCAAGCACTGCTTGAACTTATTGCATGTTAAATGACCTGCAGATATCGAGCTGTGATAAGCAATTGGTGATGAAACTACACTGGTAAGGTTTCTTGGTTCTCTTGGTTTGATGATGTGTTAAAGCTTCAAGGTGGAGATTGTTGAGTGAAGCTTTAAACGGTGTCGTATTGCACCTGTCAATACGCTATTGTTTTAAAGTTAACTCAAGTGACGAATCTCAGCCATTGAATTCAGCCTGATCTAACGACTCTCACCAGCCCAACCAGTCAAAGTATATAAAGCCACAAATCTGAAGAAACAAACAGTGATTGAAACTCTCTCTTTCGCGTTTTGCAACAGGGTTAAGGTTCTTGTTTGATACTCTTAATCAAGTCTTGTAATCAGGTCACAGTTTTTGGGAATATTGTGAGGAGAAGGATTAGGTAGTTCTTCTGGTGTAAGCATTCTGTTTTCTGGGTTTGCTTATTGTGATTACAGTGAGATTTGAGGGTTTGTTGTAATGAGTTGAGAGTTGGGCATTTCGGTTGTGATTTGAGTTGTATTTGTAATACTTTGATCCTTATAGTGCAGTGAGTCCCAATTTGCTTGAAGCTCAACGTGGATATAGTTTATTCCATTGGAATAAACGAACCACGGTAAAAATCTTGATTGTGTTCTTGATTGGTTAGTGATTGTGTTTGTGAGTGCTTATAGCTAGGTTTGAATTCGGTTCTAATCCCAACAAAAGGATCTAAGAGAAAAGAGAACATTATTTGCAATTCTAAGTAAAAAGGACAAAAAACAGGAGAGAGTGATGTATGTGACAACAATTCAACTTCTGAAATGCTTATGCATGGAAATTACAAGCAAGCTAAACCATGAAAGAGCATCCTCAATACTGAAACGACCACTCCTCTTAGCAGCAGAATTGGGGGTTCAGGAAGTTGTTGAAGAGATTATAAAATCATTTCCTGATGCAATTTGGTTCTCAGATGCCGAGTATCATAATGCATTGCAAATAGCGGTTATGAACCGTCAAGAGAAGGTATTCAACCTTCTAAAGAAAATGAGTTGTTGTAAACAATTGTTTATAGTCCAGGACAATTCTGGAAACAATATCTTGCACTTAGCTGGAAAATTGGCACCTCAATATCAACTAAATCGCATCCGCGGTGCAGCTCCGCAAATGCAGCATGAGTTACAGTGGTTGCAGGTACTATAACGTCTTGTATACATGTCTAATGATTTCAGGCTGAAAAAGAATTTCTTTCAAAGTGCAGAATTTCATTAATTTATTCTTTTGCACAGGAAGTAAATAGATATGTACCGCCTGCTTACAAAGAGGACAAAAATCTGGAAGACAAAACTCCGGCAATGGTATTTAGAGAAGCACACAAAGAACTGACTAAAGAAGGTGAGAAATGGATGAAAGAAGCAGCAGTCTCAAGCTTATTGTAAGCACGCAGCCCTCATTGGACTGTGGTATTTGCAGCAGCAATTACCGTACCTGGTGGCAATAGGAATATGGCATGCCAAATTTTTACGACCAGGACTCCGTCCTGTTGTTTGGCATCTTCGATGCATTTTCTTTGGTCTCATCACTTAGTGCCATCACAACGTTCTTGTCTATTCTCACTGCACGCTATGCTGAAGCGGAATTTCTTTACTTCTTGCCAATGAGGTTAAATATATTAACTTTAAAATTTAAATTTTAATATTTCTTCAATAAAATATATTTGTCAAATTTTAAATATATTAACTTAAAAATTTTCAACAATTTTAAATATAAATCTAATATCTCTAATATTACTTTGATTATTAAATTTGATAATTAAACATAAAATATTTTCACAGAAATTTTAATATACTAATTCTAAAAACTTGTTCATATTAATGTTTATGTATTATATAAATAAATTTTATGCAACGTCTAATGAATTGCCTTGAGGAAATTTTTACATGTTTAATTTTATGATTATAGGTCAGGGTTCAGTCTTTTATGATCAATTTAATCAATGTCAAGTGTAAGTTGAAATGTCATTCCTGCCCTTTGCCCCATCTATTTTAAGGGCCAAAAGAGACGGCAGGGGGTGTAATGAAGTGACTATTTCCAAACTTTCTCGGTGTAACTGTCTTTATGGATACTTTGACTCTTTGAGGAGTGTAGTGGCTATTTCCGAACTTTCTCAGTGTAACTTCTTTGTGGATACTTGAAGGGGTGTAAGTGTCATTAACCCTTTATTCAGGTTGAAATTTGAAATTATTTTTATGTTACTCTCCATTCATTGTTGTTCTCAGACTTGGCACTGGACTTGGTTCATAGCCATTCATTTTTGCTACAACAGATTTGGATGGTGGTGAGTCTCTTCCAAGTACACTAGCAGGTCAACCGTCTGCATTTCCTAGTGGAGGCATGAATTCCAAGTTATTGTCACATACGAATTCCAAGTTGATACTTGATTTTATTGGCAGTTCCAAGTAAAAAGGATCTAAGAGAAAAGAGAACATTATTTGCAATTCTAAGTAAAAGGACAAAAAACAAGAGAAGTGATGCATGTGACAGCGATTCAACTTCTGAAATGCTTATGCATGGAAATTACAAGCAAGCTAAACCATGAAAGAGCATCCTCATACTGAAACGACCACTCCTCTTAGCAGCAGAATTGGGGGTTCGGAAGTTTTTGAAGAGATTATAAAATCATTTCCTGATGCAATTTGGTTCTCAGATGCCGATTATCATAATGCATTGCAAATAGCGGTTATGAACCGTCAAGAGAAGGTATTCAACCTTCTAAAGAAATGATTTGTTGTAAACAATTGTTTATAGTCCAGGACAATTCTGGAAACAATATCTTGCACTTAGCTGGAAAATGGCACCTCAATATCAACTAAATCGCTCCGCGGTGCAGCTCCGCAAATGCAGCATGAGTTACAGTGGTTGCAGGTACTATAACGTCTTGTATACATGTCTAATGATTTCAGCTGAAAAAGAATTTCTTTCAAAGTGCAGAATTCATTAATTTATTCTTTTGCACAAGAGTAAATAGATATGTACCGCCTGCTTACAAAGAGGACAAAAATCTGCGAAGACAAAACTCCGGCAATGGTATTTAGAGAAGCACACAAAGAACTGACTAAAGAAGGTGAGAAATGGATGAAAGAAGCAGCAGTCTCAAGCTCAGTTGTAGCAGCCCTCCTTGCCACAGTGGTATTTGCAGCAGGAATTACCGTACCTGGTGGCAACAGCAATAATGGCATGCCAAATTTTTACGAACAGGACTCCTTCCTGTTGTTTGGCATCTCCGATGCATTTTCTTTAGTCTCATCACTTAGTGCCATCACAACGTTCTTGTCTATTCTCACTGCACGCTATGCTGAAGCGGAATTTCTTTACTTCTTGCCAATGAGGTTAATATGGGGCTTGTTGAATTTGTCCTTTTCTTTAGCGTCCTTGATGATAACCTTTGGTAACACTTTTTATATGGTGTTTCTGGGTTCGTCGAACAGGTTCTTTTGATCTATTTTAATCGGTTGTACTCTCCTCTCCCTTTTTGTTTCTTCACAATTTTTCCTCTTAAGGTATCTAGTACTTTCCAAGTGCCCGAAAGGAATCGTGCCCCGGCATGTATCTTGGCAAAATTTCTTTTCTGTTAGATGGGAAAATTTTGATGTACAAATTTACTTAAACAAACTTATTTACTCTAATTTGATCGGATGATTTTAAATTAGAGATATTTTTAACAAATTAGAGTAAATGATATATTAAACATGCTAAATTGTTATATTAGTTTGCGCGGAATAATTTGTATAATTAATTTACGTTTGTGGCAGGAACTTAAGGTAAGGGGGTCAAATCCAAAGAACTTACGACAGGGGAGTCAAATTACAAACAACAATATGATTATAAATGACATAATTAGGAATATTAGGTAAGAAACTTGTTGGAATTGATGAAACACTGCATAATAGAATTATAGATATATAGATATATTGTTACTAATAATGTAGTTAGAAATTTTACAAAATTTAGAAAGATTAACTTGAAATTTTTAAGGATATTTATGTGAAAATCAAAATTTATAGGATTAAATTGACATATAAAATATACTTATAGGAAATTATCTAAAGTTCATGTGGGTCAAGTGACCCTCCTCAACTCCCTTTGGCTTTATCCCTGTATGTAGCATTACATGTTTATGAATAGTTTCCTGATCTCAAATTTCAATGTCTTCGTGTTTTCATCACTTTACGAAAAAAATTTAAAATACAACATATATAGTTGCCACACTGTCTATATCAGCTTCCAGTTAATTTTGTTCTTTTGAGTTTTTTTTTTTTTTTTTTTGTCATTATTTTTAAATTAATCGTGATTGATAATTTAAAAATATATACAGTAACTACTTAAAATTATGTGTTGTTTTGCATTATACATTGTGATATTATCATTTTATTTAGATACATTTAATGGGTTTAACCCCACTCTTATATTGGGCTTTTCCAGCCCAAAAGGATCCATCCATGATCAAAATCCAACAGTAACTTCCCTGTCTTCGTTCAAAAGGCCGACTTAACTCGTCATCACGGTTCGAAGTTTCACTGAAACGCTCCAGTTTAACAAATCAAAATCAAAGAAGTGTATTCTCGAGCCTGCACGTTTAATGAGTTTCTGGGTATCTCATTGAAAAAGAAATTAAAATTTGGGTATCTTGGTGAAACGAAATTGAGGTAAATCATGGCAGAAGTAGTTAAAAAGTTCTTCATTGCATCGATGTTCATGTGGAAGCTCCTTCGCGATCTTATTTGGTTTTATCATAATCTGCTTCCTGGTAAATCATCTCATCTAATTATGTTCTTTTATTTTAGTTTTTTATTTTTATTTTTTCAGAATAATTTTGGTGATTTAGATCCCACTTTGCAAGCACTGTTTTTCTAATTTATTTATGGATTTTTATTCTTCGTGAAGCTCCTGCTCTGAAAATAATGATAAATATCGTTGATTTTTCCTGGGTATGGCTTAAAATTTGTTGTTTTATATGGGAAATTAGATTGATAGCATCCAAATTGATAACTTGTTTGGGAGTCTAAAAAACCTAACGGTAATTTAAGGAATGGGATTTTGATAAAGATTTTAATCAAGCTAATTAGTTGAGGTATTAGCATGTTGGAACAGTTGAAAAGTATGATAAATTTGCAAAGTTAATATTTTGGCCGTTAATACAATGGTTGTTTAAGTATCTGAAGGTGTGGTGGCAGTAAGCTTGAAATCTTTGAGCAGTGCCTTAGGAAGGTTGTTAGCAGGTGGTAGACTTTTCATGGTAAAGCTGGTAGGCTGTTTTCTTCAATTTTCTATTTGTTTTTATGTGGAGACGGTGAGAGAAATGTTGTTGCAGTAAAATTGGGGATGGATGATTGGGAGTTATACTCTTTGTTGTTCTGTAATTTTTAGTAGTTGGTATGGTAATTGTGACCTTGTTGAGGAACTAATGTATAAACTTATCTCTATGAATTAGCTTTTAAAACCATGGTTGGTTTCTATAGCTGAGAAGCCATGCCTAGCTATAGTGATGGTTGAGTTTTCTTGCCTCCTAGATGTAAAATGTAGGGTCCTATTTATTTGCATTACAGACATTTGTGATTAAATCTTAATCAAATTGAGAAAACTTTGTAGAACAAACACAAAAAACGAAAGAAAGGGAAAAATGGAAAACCAGCAGAATGTATTCGATATTTTACGCTCATCTGATTCTATCATAATTTTCTCTCTGTGTGTGTGATCCACTCTAAGTTTCTCATATTGTGATAAGATCTGTCTAAGAATGTTGTTAAGTTTCTTCAAATAATGCTTGCTGAAATCATTCGTTTCTGCAGGTTCAGCTCATTTGTCTCCTTACGGCCCTGACTCTGTTGAGGGGATTACTTGCTGTTTTATCGGTCATATAGTTATTGCATTCTATATTATTTGGCAATTAGGGCCTTCAGACAAACACGAACCAGATCCTGCATTTCTCGCCAAGGCCAAAGCTAGTGTAAGCCAGCCTATGGTGAGAGCTGAGGTGTCGTCTGAGGCCTCTAAGAAAGAAAAGTAGGACAGCCAAAGCCTTTCTCATTTACCTGTGGAAAGAGTGAACTAAACTGTGTGGCTGAGTCTTAATAGGATAATAGCTTAAATCTACTTGGTTGTATATCTTTTATGTGCCAATTACCATTATTAAGTTAGATATGGATGTGTCCTTTGATATCCGTTTTTTATTTATTAGATTGCTTTTTTGTTAACCAGAGTAAGGTTCTTGATATACATATTTAATAGTGAGTTCTTGAAATCAAATAATTCTGTAGTTCAACAATTGCTGGATTTTTTTTTTCATTCAAGTATGCAATTCAAAGCTGAAGATGAGTTTTTCAATATTAAGATCCTCACTATCTCTTCTATTAGTCTTTTGATGCTGCTACAGTTAAGCATTCGAGATGTCTTCACGAGAATTACGTTACATATGCTAATAAAGCTGAAAACAACAAACTGTAACTATAATGCATGTTTAACAAACATTCATAGATGGATGTCAATGAATTAACTTGTTCCTTCAGCAGACTTTGGAATTGATAAAATTATATTACACCAGGTAGAAAAACCAACATAAAATTGTACAAAATGAACTTCATTAGTATAAAAAATTGTCATTTAACATATAAAAAGTAGAACAATTGTCAATCTGTAATATCAAAACATAGCTTAGCCTCGTCCCAAGGACCATTAATCTCAAATTTGTATTCTTGAATCTGTATAAGCCAATAAGGGCATACCACATTCACAAAAACAGCAGGCCTAAGAACAAGACGAAAAGTAACCGGTGCAGCATATAAACAAAAGCCAATGTCGCAAACATCAAGGTAAATGAGAACAAAAGGTGTAAACGGAAGGAGTATTTCTTACACAGTATGTGACTAGTGGAGCAAAAAGGAAGACTAACAAGGAGAATAGCATGATAGCAAAGACATGTAGCTTGATGGAAGGCGGGATGCAATGAAAACAGATGCCACGACAGAAGCATTTAAGAGATGCAACTGGTTAAAGTTGGATTCTGTAGAGCCCCCGGAGCTTTTATAGTAGACCCTGATAGTATGCAGGAAGAGATGGAGTATGAGGAAGTGAGATAGTCACAGCCCAGATTGAGTCTGAGCTTATAGACCTCGTGAGTGTTTGGTAGATAGGAGCAAAACATAAGACCGGTCATAAAAAAAGAGATATTGAGAATATAATGGAACAGCAGGTTAAGAGAAAGCATTTCTTCAGTTAAAAGGAGAATCAAGAAACCTGATGCAAGGAGACTTACATCAAGAAGCAAAAGGGAATTTTCATCAAGAGTTGATCTAAGTGTAGATCCAAACCAACACAACGGAGCAACAATGCATAGATATGTTGAGATAGAAACCGAGTTTGCATCACCTTTATAGTTCCCGTTTAACTACATTGGCATTCATAACCATATGTTCAAGAAAAGATTCATGTGTGGTTGCATCAAAACCAGGTTGCATTCCTCCATATGCCACTTTTCTCCACCTGGGAGGAGTTGGAGGAGAACATTCTATCCATTGCAATTCACGCCCTATAGCAACCGTAATCTGCTTATTCAAATTGTCAGCATTCGAAAATACATCTTTCACAACGCAACACCTGATTCACACAGGCTTATTCCACCACATATCAGATCCGAGAAGAACAACATAAATGCCAGATGAATGTCACTGCTGCAACCTCCACTTCAAAACCAAATAAACCTATCCACAGACGGCAACAGTTAGGTCCATAATTGCTAAACAGTAATAACCTGATGAGAAAACTGCACCAGAAAAACACACAACTTTTACATTTCTTCTTTAAAATTTCTTCAATTAGTTATGATTACAACTGTAAATCCAAGTACACCAGCGACTAAAATGACTAGAACACTGACAACTTGATGAGAAAACTCATTAATTTCTGTTATATCATAAGATATGCTTATAGTTTCGACAACTATCCTTAAATGCATAAAGCCAGTCAAATCCCAAATAGTAGAACCAGCAATGATGAATATCTCATTAGAAGCCAAAAAAACTTATGTGAAATTAGAAATTATAGCAGCTCAGACTAAACAACAAAACCCATTAAAATTTTGCCACTCCAAACACATTCAAACATCGACACCATGAACAATTAGAATCATGCCTTATGAAATCAAGTTACCATCTTCTAAATTATATCTAATAAAAATCCAGTATTATTAATATTTACCACTCACCAACCAACGCTTCATTATGAATTCAATCAAAGTACAACATAATTAATATCAAGAAATTTCAAACGGCAGCGGATTGCGCCATGAGAGATGCAAAAAAGCCGAAAAGAAAATTCTTGAAATGTCAATATAAAATCAATTGAAGAGGACTTGGGGTCATATTGAGAGACTCACACTTTTCCGGCGAAGAGCCGGCGGGGGTAACGGCGCAGTTTCGGTGGCACTTCTGTTCACTTCTCTCTATTGGTTCCTCCGTTGGATTTTAGAAGCTTTCTTTGAGTTTTGAGTATGGCAGCCAAACATTTAAAAGGAAATTTGAAAATTACTATGGGCTCCTAAGGTTTTAATAAATTAAGGAATCCCCTAAAGTATGAGAAATCATCATACCTCCCCTTCAAAGTTGGCAAAATCATTACTCGTCTTCCTTTGACCAATGACCACGAAATCCAGCGGTCAAAATTAACAGAACTCTTGAACTCGTATTTATTTATTAAATAAATGTCAAAATTATAAATTTGCCACTATTATAACCTTTAATTTTCAACTCCAACCTATTTATGGTGAATATTATTGTACCCACCTTATTTCCTCATCTTTCATTTCATACCAATCTATGGTTGTAAACAACTTCATTATCAGAAACCAACCATTTTTTTTCTCTAACCCAATTGTAACGAATCCATTGGGTAAAACTCACTCTTAAAACCGGCATGTAAGGGGATGGACAGTGGTGGATCTAGGATTTTGTCGAGAAGGGACCTTCGCGGCTCTATCATTGTTTGTCAAACAACTAGTGAAATTTTTAAAAATAACCAAATTATAAGTAAAGAAAATAATACAATATCAAGAATCTAAAAGAAAAGAATGCAATAACACAATATTTTCCTACTTCAATGAATATATGAGAAGCAAAATTTTAAATAAATGTGTTGAATGAACCTTGAGCAAAACCTTCTTTTATTTTTTATTTTTTATTTTTTATTTTTTTGCTTTCAAAGATTATAATATAAATTTTTGTGACTTTGATCAAACTTAGCCTAAGCTAAAGTCAACCAAAACTTAAATTAAGTCAATGTTGCATTGAATTTTAATATGAATTAATGAAAAAATATGGAATTTTCTTGGTATAAACATAGATAGTAGCTCAAATTTTCTCAATAATTTTGATCAACTGAACGATAACATTTGAAATGTAGAAAAGTGGTGGGTGAAGGGTGAAAAATAACGTTCTTTAAAATATAGTTAAGGTTTTGATAGGAATATTCTTAGACACAAAACATAAAATAAACTAACAAAATCTATGTCTTTTTCTCTCAAATTAGAATAAAAAACCTTCAAAAATACAAGAATGATTTAACTCTAAAATAAACTAACTTGAAAGAAGTAATATACATAACTAAAACTGATAAAACAAAAAACGAAGCTAATTGTAGTACATTGAGTAGTAAAAACTTCAACAATTTCAGTCTTCAAAAGTTTTAAGAACGAATAACATAAAAAAGAGAAAGAGAAAAATGAGAGAATAAAAAATTTTGAGAATAAAATCATAAAAAACAGGTTGAGCCGTAGAAAAGAAGAGTTGAGAGAGTTTTAAACTTTTAATATGATATGGGCTCGGAATGTATACATATTAATAGCAAATTTTTTGTAGGCCTAGATATATGTTTAATAATTCTCATTTTTTAAAAAATCTTATGATAAGCTTGAATATACATATTAATAAAAAAAATTTGTGAATCTATATATTGTATTAGTATTTTTTTTTTTTTTTTTAATTAAATCCATACCTACCCTCCAAGGGGTTGGATTCGCCCTGGGGATGGAACACAAGGGTTAATAAACCACCCACTAATCCTACACTTGATGGACAACGGATCTTAACAGTTAAATGAAGAAAAATGTTGAGATCACATATCCTTTAAAGATTGTTGATTTCTATTATATTAATCTTTTGGGCTATTGACAAACGCTCAACTAATGATTAAAAACTTGATTGACCTTAACAAATGCTTAATAAATATAGATAGATAATATTATAATACTTGAAAAAAAAAGAATCCACTTTTCGATATATTTACATAACTATAAAGTGTTTAAGCAAATTTAACAATTCACTAAATTCTTATGGTTTTTAATCGTCGTAACCAAATAAAATTAAAAAAATCATAAAAATTAAAAAAGGGTTAGTTGTTTGGTTGAATATAAGTAAAAAAGTCGTACCAAATGAAACGAGTGGTAAATCATGTAAAGGTAAAATAAAAAACCCTTTTATGGGGATTTCTGAAAGGCACCTTATTCATCTAAAAAGGTGATTTTCACCACTTGTGTTGATGACACTGATCGGTTATGGCGAAATTTGGATGAAGAGAGCTGAGTGTGTGGAGATATGTTTGACAACAAATGGACTGTATACAGGAATAGGGGTTGATTTTTTTTTATCGCCATATTTCTGATATTATTTACATAATTAATAATCAAGAATTTCAAACGGCAGCGGATTGCGCCATTGAGAGATGCAAATAAGCCGAAAAAAAATTCCGAAATTCAATATAAATTCAATTGAAAGAGGACTTGGGTCCATATTGAGAGACTCACACTTTTCCGGCGAAGAGCCACGGCGGAGGTAACGGCGCAGTTTCGGTGGTCACCTGTATCATCATTCGTTTCTGCAGGTTCAGCTCATTTGTCTCCTTACGGCCTGACGCTGTTGAGTGGATTACTTGCTGTTATATCGGTCAATATAGTTATTGCATTCTATATTTATTTGGCAATTAAGGAGCCTTCAGACAAACACGAGCCAGATCCTGCATTTCTCGCCAAGGCCAAAGCTAGTGTAAGCCAGCCTACTGGTGAAGCTGAGGTGTCGTCTGAGGCCTCTAAGAAAGAAAAGTAGGACAGCCAAAGCCTTTCTCATTTCACCTGTGGAAAGAGTGAACCTGAACTGTGCTGGCTGAGTCTCTAATAGTATAATAGCTTAAATCTACTTGGTTGTATATCTTTTTATGTTGCCAATTACTATTATTAAGTTCTAGATATGTGATTAGTGTCCTTTGATATCCGTTTTTTATTTATTAGATTTGCTTTTTTGTTAACCAAGAGTAAGGTTCTTGATATACATATTTAATAGTGAGTTCTTGAATTCAAATAAATTCTGTTGTTCAACAATTGCTGGATTTTTTTTTTTCATTCAAGTATGCAATTCAAAGCTGAAGATGAGTTTTTCAAATATTAAGATCCTCCATATCTCTTCTATTAGTCTTTTGATGCTGCTACCATTAAGCATTCGGGATGTCTTCACGAGAATTTGAGTTACATATGCTTAATAAAGCTGAAACAACAGAACTTGTAATTATAATGCATGTTTAACAAACATTCATAGATGTATGTCAATTGAATTAACTTGTTCCTTCAGCAGACTTTGGAATTGATAAAATTATATTACACCAGGTAGAAAAACCAACATAAAATTGTACAAAATGAACTCTCATTAGTATAAAAAATTGTCATTTAACATATAGAAAGTAACATACAATTTCTCAGTCTGTAATATCAAAACATAGCTTAGCCTCGTCCCAAGGACCATTAATCTCAAATTTGTATTCTTGAATCTGTATAAGCCAATAAGGGCATACCACATTCACAAAAACCAACAGGCCTAAGAACAAGACGAAAAGTAGCCGGTGAAGCATATAAACAAAAGCCAATGTCGCAACCATCAAGGTAAATGAGAACAAAAGGTGTAAACGGAAGGAGTATTTCTTTACACAGTATGTGACTAGTGGAGCAAAAAGGAAGACTAACAAGGAGAATAGCATGATAGCAAAGACATGTAGCCTTGATGGAAGTCGGGATGCAATGAAAACAGATGCCACGACAGAAGCATTTAACGAGATGCAACTGGTTAAAGTTGGATTCTGTAGTGCCCCCGGAGCTTTTATAGTAGACCCTGAATAGTCATGCAGGAAGAGATGGAGTATGAGAAGTGAGATAGTCACAGCCCAGATTGAGTCTGAGCTTATAGACCTCGTGAGTGTTTGGTAGATAGGAGCCAAAACATAAAGACCGGTCATAAAAAAAGAGATATTGAGAATATAATGGAACAGCAGGTTAAGAGAAAGCATTTCTTCAGTTAAAAGTAGAATCAAGAAACCTGATGCAAGGAGACTTACATCAAGAAGCAAAAGGGAATTTTCATCAAGAGTTGATCTAAGTGTGTAGATCCAAACCAACACAACGAGAGCAACAATGCATAGATATTGTGAGATGGAAACCGAGTCTTGCATCACCTTTATCATGTCCCGTTTAACTACATTGGCATTCATAACCATATGTTCAAGAAAAGATTCATCCGTGTGGTTGTCATCAAAACCAGGTTGCATTCCTCCATATGCCACTTTTCTCCATCTGCGAGGAGTTGGAGGAGAGCTATTTCTATCCATTGCAATTCCACCGCCCTATAGCAACCGTAATCTGCTCTGTTTCAAATTGTCAGCATTCGAAGATACATCTTTCACAACACAACCCCTGATTCACACAGGCCTATTCAACCACATATCAGATCCACAAGAAACAACATAAATGCCAGATGAATGTCTTACTGCTGCAACCTCCACTTCAAAACCAAAAAAACCTGTCCACACACGGCAACAATTATGATGACATTTCTCTCTTCTAAAATTTCTTTAATCAGTTATGATGACAACTGTAATTATCCAAGTACACCAGCGACTAAAATGACTAAGAACACTGACAACTTAATGAGAAAACTCATTTAATATCTGTTTATATCATAAGATATGCTTAATAGTTTCGACAACTATCCTCAAATGCATAAAAGCCAGTCAAAATCCCCAAATAGTAGAACCAGCAATGATGAATATCTCACTGAGAAGCCAAAAAAACTTATGTGAAACTAGAAATTATAGCAGCTCAGACTATAACAACAAAAACCCATTAAAATTTTGCTACTCAAAACACATTCACAATCATCGACACCATGAACAATTAGAATCATACCTTATGTAAATCAAGTTACTATCATCTAAATTATATCTAATAAAAATCCCAGTTATTATTAATCTATTTACCACTCACCAAACCAACGCTCCATTATGAATTCAATCAAAGTAAACAACATGATTAATATCAAGAATTTTCAAAACGGCAGCGGAATGCGCCATTGAGAGATGCAAATAAGCCGAAAAAGAAAATTCGCGAAATATCAATATAAATTCAATTGAAAGAGGACTTGGGATCCATATTGAGAGACTCACACTTTTCCGGCAAAGAGCCACGGCGGACGTAACGGCGCAATTTCGGTGGTCCCTCTGTTCACTTCTCTCTATTGGTTCCTCCGTTAGATTTTAGAAGCTTTCTGTGAGATTGAGTATGGCAGCCAAACATTTAAAAAGAAAATTGAAAATTACTATGCGCTCCTAAGGTTTTAATAAATTATATGAATCCCCTAAGGTATGAGAAATCATCATACCTCCCCTTCAAAGTAGGCAAGATCATTACTCGTCTTCCTTTGACCAATGACCACGAAATCCAGCGGTCAACATTAACAGAATTCTTGAACTCGTATTTATTTATTAAATAAATGTCAAAATTTTAAATTTGCCACTATTATAACCTTTAATTTTCAACTCCAACCTATTTATGGTGAATATCATTGTACCCACCTTATTTTCTCATCTTTCATTTCATACCAATTTTTGATTGTAAACAACTTCATTATCAGAAACCAACCATTTTTTTCTCTAACCCAATTGTAACGAATCCATTGGGTAAAACTCACTCTTAAAACTGACGTGTAAGGGGATGGATAGTGACGGATCATGATTTTTGTCGAGAAGGGGTCTTTACAGCTCTGCTATTGTTTGTCAAACAACTAATGAAAATTTTAAAAAATAACTAAATTATAAGTAAAGAAAATAATACAATATCAAGAATTTGAAAGAAATGAATGCAATAATACAATATTTTCCTATTTGAATAAATCTATAAGAAACAAAATTTTGAGTAAATGTGTTGAGTGAATCTTGAGCAAAACATTCTTTTAATTTTTTTTTTTTTAATATTTGGATAATATAATTTTTCATGACTTTGATCAGAATTAGCCTAAGTTAAAGTTAACCAAAACTTAAATCAAGTCAATATTACGTTGTGTTTTAATATGATTAATGAAAAAATGTGGAATTTTCTTAATATAAACATAGATAGTAACTCAATTTTCCTCAATAATTTTGAGCAACTGAACGGTAACGTTTGAAATGTAGGAAAATGGTGGGTGAAGAGTGAAAAATAAAGTCCTTTAAAATATAGTTAAGGTTTTAATAGGAACATTCTCAGACATAAAACATAAAATAAACTAATAAGATCTATGTCTTTTTCTCTCAAATTGGAATAAAAAACCTCCAAGAAACAAGCATGATTCAACCTAAAATAAACTAAATTGAACGAAGCAATACACATACCTAAAATTGATAAAACAAAAAACGGAGCTAATTGTAGCACCTTGAGTAGTGAAAGCTTCAACAATTTCAGTCTCCAAAAGTTTTAAAAGAGAATAACATGAGAAAGAGGAAGAGAAAATAAGAGAATAAAAAATTTTGAGGATAAAATCATAAAAAACAGGTTGAGTAATGAAAAAGAAGAGTTGAGAGAGTTTTAAACTTTTAATATGATATGGGCTTGGAATGTATATATATTAATAGCAAATTTTTTGTAGGTTTGGATATATGTATAATAATTCTCGTTTTTTTTTTTTTTAAAATCTAATAATAAACCTGGATATATATATATAGCAATTTTTTGTGAGTTATATATTGTAGTAGTATTTTTTTTTTAAAATTAAATCTGAGGGTAAGTATGGGCCAATCCTCAAAGGGGCTGGATCCGCCTCTGGGGATGGAGCCCAAGGGTTAATAAACCACCCACTAATCCTACACTTAATGGACGGGGGATCTTAACAGTTAAATGAAGAAAAATGTTGAGATCACGTATCTTTTAAAGATTGTTGATTTCTATTATATTAATGGTTGTTGACAAACCCTAAGCTAATGATTAAAAACCTGATTGACCTTAACAAATGCTTAATAAATATAGATAGATAATATTATAATACTTGAAAAAAAGGAATTCACTTTTCGATATATTTACATAACTATAAAGTGTTTAAGCAAATTTAACAATTCACTAAATTCTTATGGTTTTTAATCGTCGTAACCAAATAAAATTAAAAAAATCATAAAAATTAAAAAAAGGGTTAGTTGTTTGGTTGAATATAAGTAAAAAAGTCGTACCAAATGAAACAAGTGGTAAATCATGTAAAGGTAAAATAAAAAGCCCTTTTATGGGGATTTCTCAAAGGCACCTTATTCATCTAAAAAGGTGATTTTCACCACTTGTGTTGATGACACTGATCGGTTATGGAGAAATTTGGAGGAAGAGAGCTGAGTGTGTGGAGATATGTTTGACAACAAATGGACTGTATACAGGAATAGGGGTTGATTTTTTTTTTTTTTCTTTTTTTTTATCGCCATATTTCTGATATTATTTATCATAACAAGAAGTTCTATGTTTTGTTCTCCACAGGTTACACTATAGCTGTAGATTCCAAATCTTTGGCTATTTCCCAAGTTGCATGTTCACTACAGAAATTCGGAAGTTTTTCAAAGTCTGTAGACAAATTCTTGGTAAGTTTATTTGATGAAGGCACTTAAAGATTTGTTTCTGGTTGTTAAGATTGGAAATTAAGTAGGTTGGAGTTGTAAATGGATTGGACTTGGAGGATGCAGTGATATTTTTAAGTCGAGATTGTTCATATTTTGTTTCGGCTAAAGAGTTGTGGGGAAGTAAAGGAATTTGTGTTAATTATGTTTAATTTAGAGAAGAAACTTATAATTTGGATAAATATAGTTATCCAGGAGAAGATGCTTGGATTTTTTACTTGAAAGATGGTAAGGTCGTTGGGAAAATTTAAAAAAAAAAAAAAGAAAAAATCTGATTTTTCAGCTTTTTTGGCCTTCACCATCTTGGCTGAAACAGTGAGTGTTCTACTGTTCTTTATTCTAGTTGTTTCAATTTTAATTTAAAATGAATGCTAATTACCTCCTTAAATTTGTGTTCTTTAAGAGTTTCGAATTAACTTATTTTGATTTTTTTTATTCTTTAATGATATGAAATTGATATTTGGATCATTTTATGAAAACCAGCATTAAACATGTTAAGGTACATAGAAAGTTGGTTTTAGCTATATAACTACAAGAAAAATGTCCAGGATTTATCGGAGGTTTAGGAGAGTGTTAGATGCTTTCTTTTTTTTGTTACTTTCTTGTATGATTCTACTTCCTATTTTATGGATTATACCCAAGATGTTTTACTTTGTGTACAAGTAATATTGGGTAAACTTTGTGTACAATTAATATTAAGTAAACTTTATATAATTCAACAAAATCAAAACCCTAATCTGAACAGGTAAATGACTCCATTCGGTAACAAATTCTGAACTAATTGATAAATTTTAATCCTAATTAAAAACGATGATGGTCATCCTTCATTATATAAATAAAGACAAATCGGTTCCTATTTTCTTCCAATAATCATAATTCTGATTTCTTCTTTGGCTCATGGCCAGAATCAAACGTGATTGGACCAGTCTTCCTGAAGGCCTACTGGCTTTAATCGCCGAACTTCTCCCCTCTCAAAATGACCTCTGTTGTCTACGTGCCGTTTGTCGCTCTTTTCGATCCGAACTTCCTCCTTCTACAACAATTTCATTCCCGCAATCTATTTTAACCACAACTGACTTCCTTAAAGGCCCAAATCCTAGCACAAATGGCCTCTATGTCCTCATCGAGTCAACTGCTTATGCAGTCCGGCCTCTCAACAAAAAAGAGTCTCCGCCATGGTTGATTAAAGTCGAAAAAACAAAACCTGGAAAGGTGGAAATAAAGGATCCGCTCTCAATACTTCGTTTCAGATTTCCCCGGAAGTTACCCAAGTTTTTAAACTTGTTGGATTATAAGGTTACTGAGATCACTACATCATATGCGTTGGAAACTACTGCTATTCTTAAAGGTAAACCCGAATTGGCTTATGGAGGGAAGTACTCCCAGCTAGAATTTTCTTCCGGAAAAGTGATTTTCACTTCTGGTATTGATGAAAGTGATGAAGAATTTGCGGTTATGGTGAAATTCGGAGTAGGAAGGTTGAGTTTATGGAGAAACGTAGACAAGAAATGGAGTAAAATAGACTTGGAGATTGACTTGGGGATTGACTTTGAGATAAGTACGATAATATTTATGAATTTTAATAGACGTTTAGTTTTAATCGAGGATATTATTTACCATGACAAAAAGTTCTACGTTTTACTCTCCAGGGGTGTTACTATGACTGTGGATTCCAAATCTTTGAGTGTTACTGAAGTTGCAGGAACACTCAATGATCTGAAATGGTATAAGTCGGTATACTTGCTGGAGTCCCATAATAATTTGTTTTTGTTTGCCAAGTTCTCCAAAAACTTGGATACTGAGGATTATTTAAAGGTTTTTAAGCTTGACAAAGAGAGACATGAGTGGTTTCGGGTAGAGAAGGGATTGGAATTTGAGGATAGAGCGATATTTCTGAGTGAAGATGGATCTTTTTCTCTTTCGGCTAAAGAGTCGTCGGAATAAAAGGAAATTGTGTTATTTCAGACGAAACACTAGGTATTGATGAATTAGGTTTTCCAGAGGGGATGCCCCACGGGGGTGTTTAAATTGAAAATGGAAAATAAAACAAAAAAAAAAGAAAAAAAAAACGAAAGGCTGAGAAACTCAGCGAATTTAGCATTTTCTGGCCTCACCACGTTGGTTGAAGCGATGATAGGCCGGCGAGTTTGGCACAAATTTTGGCATCTGGCTCGACACTGAAATTTGTCTTCCGGCGTCCGGTCTTACTGTTCTTGACATTCAATTTATTTCAAAATGTATCTTAGCATTTCTCTTGATATTTTTTGTTGAACAGGTTCTTTTATTTTCTAATAAAAAACATAGAAAAAAAATCCGATAATACAATATTTACTTTTTATACAAATAAAAGCAAATTGTTTAATAAACAATAGAAAAAGTTATTTTTTTTTTCTAGATTGTTTGAGTCAATTTGTAAAATAAATTATATCAGACTAAAAGAATAAAAGCAAATTTGTTTAATAAACAATAGAAAAAGTTAATTTTTTTTTTTTCTAGATTGTTGAGTCAATTTGTAAAATAAATTATACAGACTAAAAGAAGAATAGATAAGTATAAAAGAAAATAATAAATAAATATTGAGTGGAGTCAACAGCCCCCACTCGCCGTAACACGGGTCAATCCACGTAGCCAGGGTGGATAGTTCAGGGGGGGTCAGGCCTACCCTCCAATAAAAAAAAAAATTATTATTTACAATTTCTAAATTTTACTCCTAGCAGAAATATTAATTAATAAAAAATATTAATATAATTAATTTTTTTTGATCGACATTAACAAAAATTATGGATCCGCTGCTGTAGCCAACAATTGGCTTCTCTCTAACATACATTTTAAAATAGAATTTTATCTAAACTCGGTAACCAAAAAATCTGATCCTATACAATGCAGGATAAATATTGTTATGCCTGGAAAAATGAGGGCTGACGTGGGAAAGTCACGTGAAGAGTGACCTGCTCCCATCAGAGCAACAACCACACGTCAGACATGCCAAATGATAAGGAGCTCACAGTGTTCCCTTTCCCCTGCAAAAACATGCGAATTCAGCTTGGGAAGAGAGCAATGGGAGTAAAGCCGGATTATATCCTGACAATCACACCAACCCATGGATTTAATGATGATTACAAGCTTCAGTTTGTATAAAATGAAGAAGACCCCTATCTTAAGGGGATTCGGCCATTTTACATTGAGAACTCTCTCTCTCTCCTGTAAACACATTTACTTTTCATAACTTTCTGTAAGGCAGTCCGCTGTTGCGACCTGACCCCAACTAATATCAATACAAATCAGTGGACGTAGGACTTGCTAACTTAGCATCCGAACCACTTTAAAAACTCTCTTTGCATTTATTTCATTTTTGACATTCATTATCACGGTGTTTCTTGGCCACCCAGGTTACGCACGTGACAATTAGTTGGTGCAAAACAAAGCATCAACAGGTGGCGCAGAAGGAGGGCGGATTTAGTGTCTACCCATCAGGAGAATCTTTGACCTACTGGCCCTACAACAGCAGATGGCCCGCCAATCTGAACTGAGCAGGTCAACCAGCGTGCTGAAGGAGTCCCCCTAGCCCAGAGGGAACCCCTTCCAACATACCCCCAGTTTCGCAAAAAGCTATGGGAATATCCGGCAGCTCCGCAACTCGACCCTGCCATCAGAAGTTACTTGGAGAGGTTCGACAATACTCTCCAAAAGGTCAACCAAAGGCTAGACCGTTTGGACCAAGGCATGTCATCTACGACAGCTGGGGCGGTACAACCGCCAAAGACGCTGCAGGTCGCGCGAAAGCGCGGCAAAGGGCGATAGCCGTGCCGCGAGCACTGCAGCGCGTAGGTGCAAGGGTAAGCAAGTGGTAAAAAGTAAGCCTACGGCTCCCAAGGACCAGCGAATACAAAAGGCGCCCCGAGCAGGTGTCGGCAAAGCTGAGACTCGGTGAAAAGAGATCCCGAGCTCCATGCCATGTCGCAGGCAAACCCAAGCGCAAATGTGGGCGCGGTGATTCCTATCACACCAGCAGACGATCCGATCGTTATGCGGGTGGGGCTACACGCGGGGCGGTTGTACCACTGCAAGGGTCGTGAAAATGCCCCGCACAACCCCTCGCCTTCACACGCCTCTAGTCAGCGTGTGTCAAGTGCGGCCGGAAATGCCGGCCGAGGCGAGGAGGAATCCGACCTTCGGACTTTCCTGAACCGCAAACGAGAAGGCCGGGCTCGCGGGTGAAAGCAACCCCCAAGGCTCCGTTACCACAAATTGAGGAGAGTTGCAGCGAGCTTAGACAGGTTAAGGGAGCAGCAAAACGAACAGGACACGTCGTCTCTGCATCCCCTTTTCTCCCGAAGTGCTAGGTGCTCCCTTTCCACCAGGTTCGAAATGCCAGATATGCGGCCGTTTGATGGAAACTATAATCCGCAGGATCATTTATATGAGTTCAACGACCTGATGGAGCTCCACCAGGTTTCAGACCTTGTAAAATGCCGTTGTTGGCCGTGACGCTGACCTCTCACGCCAAGCGGTGGTTAAGGTCGCTCCCAGCGGGATCGATTAGTTCGGGCCTCAGATGAGCACGACGTTCCTGCGGCATTTCCAAGCCAATCGGAAAATTTCAATGCCTTTGAGCTACCTTAGCAACATAAGGCAAGAAAAAGATGAATCCCTGCAGTCTTACATTGACCGCTTCCACCAGGAACTCAAAGGTGGCTCACGCCCCAGAAGAATCCATCCGAACTCTCATAATAGCTAGAGTTCGCCCGAAACCGACTGTGGAAAGAACTGCAAGCTGAGGACAACATTTCCCTCACTAGATTCTACAACCTGGCAGAAAAGTATCTCCGAATAGAGAACTCATTGGCGGCACTCCGCCGTCGCGATCACGGCACTTCCAGCAGCATATTTGGTCGGGGAGATAATAGGAGGGCTGATCGCAAAGGAGACATTGACGATCAGCGAAAAGGAAGAAACCCCACTACGAGCAGAAAAAGTCCTATGCTCGTTCCTCGTCGGACCACGACAGGACTCAATACACTCCGATGAAGTGTCATATCTGCAATCCTCGACAAATCCGAGGAGGCCAGCTTGCTCGGTGAGCCCGAACCAATGAAAACTCCTGCCACTGCCAGAAACAGCAAAAAATACTACCGTACCACCGGGATAACGGGCATCACACTGATAAATGCCGAGCTCTAAAGCAGGCTATCGAAGAGCTCATCAAGAAGGGGTACTTCAAAGAGTACATTGATGCTCCCACAAAGAAAACCAAGGGGAGCGAAAGAAAAAGCGCCGTGATAGCAGCGGGTACGATAGTATTGACATAATTTTCGGAGGTCCGCACCTCACGAGAAACACGCGAGGAGTGCAGAAAAGATATGCCCACGAAGCGCATCACGACCGATCAGGGTAATGAAGACTTTGCAGCGACCTCAAAAAGCCAGAAAGGAGGAATCGATCACCTTGCGAGAAAGAGGGAGCTCGCTTGCACCATCTCCACGAGGATACTCTGGTGATCACGCCCCTGATAGGGTGTCATAGTCGCAGAATGCTTGTAGACAACGGGAGCGCTGTGAACATCCTGTTCAAGTCCACTTTCGATAGAATGAACCTGGTAGAGGCCGACCTGAAGCCAGCTCGATGCCTCTGTACGGCTTTACAGGGGATCACCTATCCCCAAAGACGATCCAGCTACCAGTCATGCTCGGCGACTACGACGAGGTGACTAGGGTACCGAATTCTTGGTCGTGGACTGCCCATCGGCCTCAAGGAATCTTGGGGACCTCTATTGAGAACCTTCAGGGCGGTCACTTTCATTTATCTCTCAAGATGAAGTTCCCACTCCATCGGGGATAGGGGAGGTAGCGGATCGCAAGCGCATTCTGCAAATGCTAGTAAAGGCGGTCCAAATGGCTGACAAGAGAAAGGGCATTTCGCGATGTGCACCCCGCTAGGCTATGGAGTCAGCCGGATCGAGCACAGCCTGGTCCGACGGGGATAATATAGATCGTGAATTCAGGAAATCCCCCGAATGGCCCGGTTGAGGACTGTCCGAAGTTTCGGTTGATCCAAAAGAGCCGAGCCGAGTGTAAAAATCGGAAGCTGTCTACAACCTCAGCTCGCTTCCGAGCTGACAAGCTTCTTAAAGGAGAAAATTGATGTGTTCGCCTGGTGCATGCAAATATGGTCGGGATCAGCCCGGACATTATTTGCCATTCATTGAACGTAACAGTGAAGCCAAGCCAGTTCGCCAAAAAGAAGGGCGATGGATCCGGAGCGGTCGCCGCACTAAATCAAAAGTGGAGAACCTTCTCGAAATGGATCCATTCGTGAGCTCTCTACACCGGGGTTGCCAACCCGGTCCTGGTAAAGAAGCTAAATGGCAAGTGGCGGACTGTGTAGACTTCAGCGACCTCAACAAAGTTGCCGAAAGACAGCTTCCCCTACCCAAGAATCGATCAGCTCGTTGATGCCACCTCGGGGACGAGCTGTTTAGCTTCATGGATGCATACTCGGGATACAATCAAATCCCGATGTATAGGCCAGAGAGGAGAAACGACTTCATTGGACCGAGGGTTACTGTTACAAAGTCATGCCTTTGGCCTCAAGAATGCGGGAGCGACCTATCAGAGGTTGGTCAACCGAATGTTCAACCAGATCGGGAGGACAATGGAGGTCTATGTGGACGACATGTGGTCAAATCCCAGGTCACCTCAGAGCATATAGCGCATCTCGCTGAGATGTTGACATACTCCGACTCTACAGAATGAAGCTGAACCCTCTCAAATGTTGTGTCGGGTATCGTCAGGGAAGTTCCTGGGATATATGGTCAATCAGCGGGGCATAGAAGTAAACCCCGAAAAGATTCAAGCTCTGCTCGATATGGAGAGCCCGACCAGCAAAAAGCAGGTCATGAGTCTGAATGGGCAAATAGCGGCACTTAGTCGCTTCATATCAAGGCT